AGCCGACAGGGACAAACGCTTAGTGAATACCCATGGCGCGATCAAACGCACGGGGACCTAGGGGCCCGAGGCCAGGGACAAAGACGGCGGCTGCAGCAAAAGTCACACCAAAGAGGTTCCCGTCCGCTGCGGGGCAGCGGTCTGCCCTGGGCCCGCGCTCGACGGCCCCGGGGCCCGCAAATGACCCCTTGGGGGCCGAGACCTGGGAAGCATCAACACACAAAAATACGTTACCGAAGAGCCCCCCATACTTGTAGTATGTCTGGAGTGATGATAGCTGAGGTAAAACATGCGAATCTGATGCTGGAAGCCGTTGCCCCGCCGATACCGCTGGCGACGCCGATGCCGAAGAAGGGCCCATTGCCCCCTGCATCGCCAGCACCTCGTTTACGCGGCAACTATCTGCATTTGGCGAATAGCGTCTCAGGCCACCAGTTCATCAGCTGTCTGTGGTAAGCATGAAATGCGCATTGCACCAAAACGTTCCCATGCCTAACGACATATCCGCGCAGGCCATCCAGGTTCACCTCGGCGCCCATCTCGATCATTGAAATCATGAGCTGCTCGCACGGCGGTGGCAGCGCGGACATGGCGCATTTTGCCCCCATAACGGGGACCGTACCTTTGAAGGAAAGTCACCGGCGGTCGCCGGCGTTCACATATCCAGCGGTCTGAGCCGGGATGGGCCAGTGTGACTACAGATCTTGATGGTGATGCTGATGATGATGATGATGATGATGATGATGATGATGAAGATGATTGTGATGATGATGACGATGATGATGATGCCACGCCTGCTATGCTCCGAACGACTTGGGCGCATAGCGGCCGCGCTGAGGGACCACCCCCTGCGCAACTCCTACGGTATCGAGAACATGCTACGCGTGCTAAGCCCATGGCGACCGTGACGGACAGCGACCGCGCTCTGAGACAACCCTCTGCGCACCCCTAGGGTGTCGAGAATCCGCCATGCGTGCTACGCCCTGGACGACCGTGACGGATAGCGGCCGCACTGAAGAACCAACCCCTGCGCACCACCTATGGTGTCGAGAATATGCCACGCCTGCTACGCCGTGGACGACCGTGACGGATAGCGGCCGCGCTGCGGGACCATCCCGCTGCGCACCCCGTATGGTGCCGAGACTACGCCACGCCTGCTGCGCCCTGGACGACCGTGACGGATAGCGGCCGCGATGACGGACCAACCCCTGCGCACCCCCGTATGGTGTCGAGAATATGCCACGCCTGTTATGCCCTGGACGACGATGACGGATAGCGGCCGCGCTGAGGGACCACCCCCTGCGCACCCCTAATGGTGTCGAGAATATACCACGCCTGCGATGCCCTGGACGACCGTGACGGATAGCGGCCACGCTGAGGGACCACCCCCTGCTCACCCCCTATGATGTCATAGCGGCCGCGCTGTATCTGGATGTGTTAATCATGTGGTTGCCCTGTATGTGGCGCATACGTCATGTGTGTGTGATGCAGTGAACATGCCAGGCGCGGCGTGCACTGGCGAGCGAGACCGAGAAGCAAAAGGGTGGGGAGGAGGAGAAGAGAAGGAACGCGGGTGCGACGCGGCAGGGAAGAAAACCAAAACCCCACTAAGGATGTGGGGAAAAACCACAACAACAAAAACACCGGCCGAAGAGCCTGCATCTTCGGAAAACGGCCACCGGGGAAAGGGGGCCGAAACCAAAGAAACAACAGCTCCGGCTAAAAAATCATCCACATCGTCGAAAAAGGCAACCGCCCAGGGGAAAGCGAAAACGAGAAAAACAACAAAAACAAAAAATGTGGACCACAAGCAGTGCGCAGACGCATTATGCAGCGGATGGGGAGGAGGAGGAGGAGGAGCAGGAAGAGGAGGAGAAGAAGGAGGAGAAATATGGAGAGAAGGAAGGGGGGAAGAAAAGGAGGAGGAGGATGAGCAGGAAAAGGAGGAGGGGGAGAAGGAAACAGGGGAAAACGAAGAGGAGGAGTAGGAGGGAAGGAGGAGGAGGAGAAGGGGGAGGAGGGAGGAGGAGGAGGAGGAGGAGGAGGAGGAGGAGGAGGAGGAGGAGGAGGGAGAGGAGGAAGAGGAGGAGGAGGAGGAGGACGGGGAGACAGAGGAGAAGGGAGGAGGAGGGAGGAGGAGGAAAGAAAGGAGGAGGAGGAAGACGGGACGGGGAAGTACGAGGAGGAGGGAGGAGGGGGAGGAGGAGGAGGAGGAGGAGGAGGAGGAGGAGGAGGAGGAGGAGGAGGTGGAGGAGGAGGAGGAGGAGGAGAAGGAGGAGGAGGAGGAGGAGGACCAGTGTATGCCCAAGAGTCTTCAACGATGTTGGAAGAAACCGTCCCTCCAAGCTCCCTCGTCACAGGCCCCTACAAGGACTCGTTTCCACTGAGTGAACTGTCTCGTTGGAGGACAACCGTCTGAAGACACTGAAGCATGGCAAAACATTATTCTCGGGACTCTAACGCCACGGATCAACCTGACTGTTGCGTCTTGACGATCCTGAATCGCGCCAGAACGCCATTCCTGGGACTTCAACACCGCGAACCAGCATAACTGCTGCACCCATCAGAATCCTGAATCTGTCCGAAACACTATTTCTGGTACGTTGACCATGGAAATGCGTGAAACTCTTGAAATGTTTACAACGGAATGTGCGCGGCACGAAGGTGAGAGCCACATGTTGAAAAGGAACCGCTCTCAATCCGTGAAACTCTTGCAAATGTTTAAAACGAGTGTGCGCGGCGCTGAAGCGAGAGGCATAGTTTGAAAACGACCCACCCTCAATCCGTGAAACTCCCGCAATTTGTTCAAACGAATGCGCGCGGCGCTAAGGCGAAAGTCACATTTTGAAAACAACCCGCCCTCCGTCTGTGAAACTGTTGCCAATGTTTTAACTGCAGGGTCGTACACGGTGAGGAAGTCTCAGGCGAGACGCCCGGCCAGCCCTTTCGACCGGCCTCGGAGTGCGAGAGGGAGGAGTTATCTATAAGAGCAAGGAATGGAGGAGGAGGAGGAAGAGGAGGAGGAGGAGGACAAGGACGAGGAGGACGAGGACGAGGAGGACGAGGAGGGCAGAGGAGGAGGAGGATGAGGAGGAGGAGGAGCGGGGAGGAAGACAAGCTAGGTGCGCTCGCGTCATCCCACCCCTTACCATGGCGTAGATCGCCTCTCTATTCGCAAAGCCGGATGTCGCAGCAGGGCATAGCATTACATAGCATAGCATGGCGTTGAAGATCAATGCGTAGCCTGACATAGCATGACGCGGCGACGCCCCAAAGTGGGGGGGGGTCTGCAACCCAAAAGATCAACGAATCGGCACCGAATGTGGAACCACCTCCGATGGTTGTTTCGGGGGTGCAATTTTTTGATGTTGGGGCCGACTTGGAAGGACCGAAAAACATGCCGTGACATGGCGCTGGAAATAATGACGCCAGCGCTGCAGCGGGAGCACGATTCGGAACGAGCGGAAGCGCGGAAATGAGGCCAACGCTGCGCTGGGAGCACGATACGGAGGACGCGCAGCCTGACATAGCATGGCGTGGCGACGCCCCAAAGTGGGAAAAGGGGCTTCTGCGCCTCAGAAAATCAACAAATCGGCACCGAATGTGGAATAATCACTTCCGATGGTTTTTGTTCGGGGGGGCAGTTTTTAGATGTTGGGGCCTACTTGGAAGGAAGGAAAAACATGCCGTGACATGGCAATGAAAATAATCACGCCAACGCTGCAGCGCGAGCACGACTCGGAACGAGCGGTAGCCCGAAAATGAAGCCAGCGCTCCAGCGAGAGCAGCACTTCGAACAAAAAACGAGCGATAACCAGTTTCCAGCGAATCCTGTGTGTAAACAACCAGCACGCGGAGGGCGGCCGGATATTTCCTGGACGTCACCAACGGAGAGAGGAGAGTAGTAGTATTCATATGGTGTAAATGTGAAGGAGGAAGAGGGGGAGGAGGAGGAGGAGGAGGAGGAGGAGGAGTAGGAGGAGGAGGAGGAGGAGGAGGAGGAGGAGGAGGAGGAGGAGGAGGAGGGAAGGAGGGGAGGAAGGGGGAAGTGAGGAGGGGGAGGAGAAGGAGTAGGAGGAGGCGGAGGAGGAAGAGGAGGACCAGTGCAAACCCAAGAGTCATCAACGATGTCCACACTCCAAGCTCCCTCTTCATAGTCCCCTACAACGGTTAATTTCAACAGAGGGAGCTGCCTCGTTGGAAGACAACTGTTTGAAGACCCTGAAGCATGCCAAAACATAATCCTCGCGACTCCAACGCCACAGATCAACCTGATTGTGGCGTCCTGACGATCCAGAATCGTGCCAGAACGCCATTCCTGGGACCTCAAAGCCGCGAATCAGCGTAACTGGTGCACCCTCATAAATCCTGAACCCCAAAACACCCCTTCCCGATACGCTGATCACGGGAATCCGTGAAACTCGCGCAAAAAAACGAAGGTGCGCGGCGGTCAGGCGAGAGCCACATCTTGAAAAGGCGCCGCCCTCCATCCGTGACACTCCTGCAAACTCTAAAAAAGAATGTGCGCGGCGCTACAAGGCGAGTGCAACTTGTTGAAAACGGGTCGCCCTCAATCCGTGAAGCTCTCACACATGTGAAAGAACAAGTGTGCGCGGCGCTAAAAGGCGAGAACCACGTCTTGAAAAGGAGCCGCCCTCAATCCGTGACACTCTTGCATTTCCCCCCCCGAGCAAAAATAACACAAACAAAAAAAAATGAACGCGGCGCTAAGGCGAGAGCCACATTTTGGAACAGGTTGCCCTCAATCCGTGAAGCACTTGCAATTTCTTTAAAGGAATGTGCGCGGCGCTAAGGCGAAAGCCACATTTTGAAAACGGCCCGCCCTCCATTTGGGAAGAGGAAGAGGAGGAAGAACAAGAGGAGGAAGAGGCGGAGGACGGAGGGGAGGAGGAGATGGAGGAGGAGGAGGAGGAGGAGGAGGAGGAGGGGGAAGAGGAGGAGGAGGACGAGGACGAGGAGCTACTCCCTGCTTCTCCCTGCTCCGACCTGTGGATCGTCGACCCACATTTGATGGAGCAGGGACCGACCGTCCCGGCTTTGCTGTAGGCCTACCACGAGGTGTTCTGAGAACCACAAGATCTCGAACAACAAAAACGATGCTCTCTCAGAGCATAAGCCGGACGTCTCAAGACAAGACGGCCTCGGCCAGAACTGCTCTGAGAGCACCTCGTGCAGACCACGAAAGGCTCTCAGCACTTTCTCTGGTGGGCCCACATCGACGAGCGCGCTCCACTACTCGCAGAGCAGCTACTCGCAAATGGCCTGTGGATCCCCCGAGGAGGATCTACGAGAAATGACCTCGAAGCAGACATGTGCTTCTCGGACGTTTGCGAGTAGGCACTCTGCGAGCAGTGGAAGGCGCTCGGTGACTACAGGAAATTGGCGGCGGCGCACAAGGGGGGGGGGGAGGGGGGAGGGCTTCTTAGAAGGAGGCCGCTTCTTGGAAGGCGCCGGCCTACATCTACAGATGAGGCCCGCGCCTTCTAAGAAGCAGGGGTGCTTCTAAGAAGCCCTCCCCCCTCCCCCCACCCCCCTCTGCGCGTGGCTGACCACTGCTCGCGCGGGATAGCAAAGGGGGGGGTTGAGAATCAGCTCACGTAGCTGATTTTCCTGGCGCCTCCCGGCGCCGGAGGTGGCTATGTATCGAGGAATGGGCCCCTCGGTGAGGCCGAAACCAGCTACATGCAGCAAATTTCGTAACCCCCCCTTTCCCAATCCCCCCCTTTCGCCCGGCCCGATACGCCACTGCTCGCCTGGAGCCGCCAGCGCCCGGCGCCGGCCGCGCCCCGCCCCCCGGCCGCCGGCGGGGCCCTCAAAATCCGGCGGCGCGGGGCCGCCGCCTCGTGCCGCGAGGCCGGGGCGCGGTGCCGCCGAGGAGGGCGGCTCAGTAGCCCCAGCGGGGGGCGCCGCCGAAAAGGTGCACCTGAGCAGCGCGCGGCCGACTGGCGGTGCATCCCGATCCTCATTCTCCTCCCCCTCCCTCCTCCACTCCCTCCTCCTCCTCCTCCTCTCCTCCTCCTCCCCTCCTCCTCCCCCTCCTCCTCCCCCTCCTCCTCCCCCTCCTCCCCGTCCTCCCGAGGAATCCGGGGTCTGGAAGCTGGCGGAGCACCAATCGAGGCGTGGCCATGGAAATATCCGCCGCCCTCGTTAGATCAGGAAGTCCCCAGGGTCTGAAGCCTCCTGGGCACACTCCTTAACCAAGGCCCCCACTGTATCTATCGATATCACTACCGTTCGGTCTCAATATCCGTCGAACTCACGATCTACGCATCTATCGATCACAGGGGACAACCATCAGGACACCATCGGGAAACCATCTGGACACCTTCGGGACACCATGTGGACACCATTGGGACACCATCGGGACACCATCGGGACACCATCGGGACACCATCGGGACACCATCGGGGCACATCGGGACACCATCGGGACACCTTCGGGACACCATCGGGACAAAAATGGAATACTATCGAGACCCAATCAGAACACCGTCGGGACACCATCGAGACACCATCGGGACACCATCTGGACATCGTTCAGACAACCTCGGGACACCACGGGGACACACCATCTGGACACAGTCGAGACAACATCGGAACACCACGGGGACACCATCGGGACATCCCAGAACCTCTGTCGGCCAACCGCGGGGAGGGGGAGCAACATTTGGCCAGGTTTCGCCCTAGCAACGGCGAGTTCATTCCGCTCGCCCGCCCACGCAGCTTCGCCTCGCACGCACGCACGACACAAACACGAAACCGAAACCGCTGTCCCAACGGGGGGACTTAGTTTCACTTCGATCTCGCCTCCCAACCTCCGATGTACATGTGCTGCTCCCATTCGGCTGGGGAGCGGGCTGGGGGGGCTGAGGAACTATGGCCCAGTGGAGATGGGGCTCGGTTCGGTTACAGTCGGGGGGGGGGGGGGGGATTGGTGAGGAAACGCCAGAGGACACAAGGCACTTCTGAGGGCCACATTGCCAAAGGAATGTACAAGGCATGGGCTCCAAAACACAGGACACAAGGGTGCTCTTGATTTTGCGGGATCGGCCTACTAATCGGCCTCGACTGTACACGATGCTGAGCACCGGCGTGTGGTGCACGAAGTGCCAGATCATGCGCCCGATCACGCCGTTCGCGCACTCGTCGGTCTTCGAGGCCTCGATGATCTCCTTCTGCACTGCACAGGGCGGGCCCCACACGCAGCACAGGCCCGAGTTCTTCTGCCAGTTGGCCCCCGCCACGAAGCACGCGGTGTCGGGCCCGAGCGAAGTGGCGAACATGCCGGCGCCCCAGGGCCAGTGCATCTTCGCCGGCTGCAGTGGCGCGTAGCAGCAGTCGACGGTCTTGCCGTGCTTCAGCTTCTCGATCCTATTCGGGGGTCTCCGCGAGATGCGGTGACAGGCCGTGCGGTGACCTCGATATCCCAAGAGGCCTCACCGCACGGTCCGTCACCGCACGGTGGGGACCCTGGAGGCCCCAGTCGCCCGAGGCATCCTCGGAGAACGACCCAAGCCCCAAAACCGTGCGGCCACCCTGGATCCGCACTGGCTCACCACACGGTGTGGCCACCGCACCCTTTGAGGAGCCCACCAACCTGTGGATGTTGGCGCACGCGATGACGGCCTCCTCTGGGGAAGCCAAGAGCTATCGAGACCGCTGCCCCCTGGACCTCTCCCGGGGTGCGCTCTGACCAGGAGTTCGAAGCGAATCCGGCGGTGGCGACGAGGGCCTCCCAGGAGGCCCACAGAAGCGAAAACGAGGCAGGGGCAGCGGCACTGGCATCTTTCCCTCCTCGGCTCCTCCTCGCCCGGGTACGAGATCTTGGGGATCGGCGGCACGGGCCAGGCGTTGATGCTGCGGCCCGCGCCGCCGACCTTCTTCACCTCGACCCCGGCGCCGGCGGCCTTGCCGGCGAACGGCGTGCCCATCACCACGGAGTAGACCGTGGTGGCCCCGTGGGTCTTCGGCGCGGTGATGGACAGGATCTCGTACTTCTTCTCCGCAATCATCACCTTCGGGAGGCGACTCACGGAAGCTTCTGCCGGCGGCGAGCCCGGGGGGGAAGCGCGAGGGGGCGGGCCCTCTCAGAAGGCTCGGTAGGTCTTGGGCATTTTAAAAATTGTTCGAAGCCTCCCCCGAAGACACAGAAACTTTCTGAGAAGGCCAGAGGCCTTCTGAGAAGCCCCGCCGCATTCTGAGAAGGCCTCCTCCTTCTCACGCCCCCCCCCGCTCGCCGCCGATTTGGCCGCCCCCATGGCGCCCAATAGCGCGTCCAACAGCACCCAACAGCGCCCAGAGCGGACGCCACGTATCTCCCTCGCATGGCGATACGAAGCGCTGATTGGACAGTAGCCGACGCTTCTGAGCGCTGACGGGCGCTACTGGGCGCCATTGGGCGCGGCGTGCGAGCGCTACTAGACGCAACACGTTCAATCCGAAACGCGTGGAAGCTTCTGCGACTTGCTATCTATGGTGGGCTTGTTTTCCCCCGCCACCACCAGTTAAGTAGGATTAGGTCGGGCGTGTCCCCCTACAGGCCGACATTGGAAGAACAACAAGAAATAGTCCAAACATGTTCAAAGATAGACAAGAATAGTCGAGAAATCGTCCCCAGACTATTTCTACTATTTTTGAATACTCCTCAAGTAGAGGGACATGCCCGACTTTAAAGCAGGAGGGGGAGGGGGTCCTCCTCCTCCTTCTCCTCTTCTTCCTCCTCCTCATCCTCTACCCCCTTCCCCCCTCCAACTTCTGGTGGTGGTGGTGGAAAACAGGCCCATCAATCTAGTCACCTCGTCGAACCTCTTGAACACCTGGTCGCCGGTGACGGTGATGTCGGCCTTCGTGGACGCCCCGCCAAGGAATGGTCCAGAGATATGGCCCGTGGCCTCGCGCAGCAGGTCCGGGTCGTCAGGGGGGATCTCGACGCAGCCGAAGTTGCAGTCGCCCACGGCGTAGATGCGACCGTAGCCCTTCTCGTCCACGGACCAGCGCTTGCCCTCCCTCGTCCTCACCGCGAGGGTCTGGTCCATGAGGATCCACTTGCCGCCGCCCGGGCCCACGGTGCTGAGGGTCTCCTCGGGCATGAAGTAGTTGGACGCCTTCACGCCGACACAGACGTACTTCTTGTCCCAGCCGGGCTTGCCGCTCTTGTCCTTCAGGCCAGTCTTTGCCAGGTACTCTGGGCTCTTCTCGTCGAACTTCTCGCCATAGATCTGCGTGATCCCCTTCCTCTTCATGTACTTGACGCAGTACTCCGCGGCGCTCTCGGGCAGGGGGCCCAGGCACTTGGGCAGCATGTCGCAGATCGCCAGCGAGAGGCTGGGGAAGAAGTGCTCCAGCTCCGTGACCCACTCGACGCCGATGAAGCCAGCGCCGACCACCATCACGGAGGCCTTCGCCGCATTCATCTCGCGGATGCTCTTGTACTCCTCCAGGACGTGGCGGCGGCGGCCCTCCAGGAATCGCTCGTCAATGTGCGCCCACGATCCCTCTGGACGCGCCTTCTCGTGTATGGTCGGGAACCAGAGGGACTCGCCCCACTTGTGGAAGACGCCGAAATTGCACCCCGCCGCGATGATGGAGTAGTCGAAGTCGATCGTCTCCTGCGCCGTCGTGAACATCGGCTTGATCACGGCGGTCCTGTCCGGCTTCATCTCCAGGACTTCGCCCCAGATGAACTTGAGGCCCATCTGGTACTCGATCACGGGGTACAGCGTGAACGTCAGGGCGTCGAGGTGTTTCGGTTTCACATACGCGCGCAGCACGCCTGGCGTGTACTCAAAAAACTCCTTCGCGTCCACGATGGTGACCAAGAAATCCTTCTTCAGGTCGCGCCCGATGCACAGGCCCGCGAAGCTTCCGCCCACCACCAGCACACGGCTCTGCGAAGGAGGCATGGCTCCACGTTTCTGCAGCGCGAAACAAGTCGGCACTCGCACGGCGTGGTTGTTTGCTGCTTCAGCCAAAATGGCTATGGAGGAGGAGGGAGGAGGGAGAAGCGACAAAAAACATAGCTCGATTCTGTTTCCTGCTGTTAAGCAGCTCCGACTTCCCAAGAGCAGTATTACGTACAGTTATGAAGCATCTTGCGCGAAGGGGGACGACGGGGGGGACCAGCAGAGGGAAAGATCGGCCTGGAGTTGGCGAGGCATACATCGCCGATACAGTGGAGATGGACCCCGACAGCAAATGCGCACGTTCCTTGGCCGGGGTGGGCCATCATGCCCCCGATCGGCGATCAATGAGCGATTGGGAGTCGATGCGTTCCCACCTCAGAGCCTATCACCAGGAATCCTGTGGAACCCCTCGGAAATCTGTGTCTGAAATCCCGTAGGGATCCCTGAGGATCCCTCAAGAATCCCTCAGGAATTCCACGGGACCCCTTGAGGAATTCTCACGGATCCCTCAGGAATCCACCAGGAATCTTTTTAGGAATACTCTACAATCCCTTGGGGATCCATGGGGGAGTCCCGCAGGAGTGGCGCTAGGAGCAGAAAGCACTCGGGGTAGAGCCAGGCGGGCAGATCGGGCGGGAAGACCCTACCAGGCGGCTCGGGACGGCATGCCCAGGTGGCCAGGTCGAGCAGGCGGGTTGCTGAAGCGTGACTCTGGCATGAATCGCGAGAAAGTGTCGAGCGATAGCGCAATTCTCAAGAGAATCCTGAGTATCGAGGGCTCAGCGTCGCGCGCATTCGCCTGAGAGATGTGTAGCAGTTTCAAAGATCCGCAGGGGTGAAGTCCCAGGAATGGTGTTCTGGCACGGTTTAGGAGTGTCTGGACGCCACAATCACGTTGATTCGCGGCGTTGAAGTCCCAGGCACGGCATTCTGGCATGATTTAGGAGTGTCAGGACGCCGCAGTCACGTCGATTCGCAATGTTAAAATCCCAGGAACAGTTTTCTGGCACAGTGTAGGGCTGTCAGGACGCAACAGACTGTCAGGACGTAACAATCACGTTGACTCGGGGCGTCCTAGGAATGGTGATTAGGCACGATTGAAGATATTGACAGACGGTCGTCTTTCAGTTGGGCACTTCCCGCAAGCAACATCGTTAATGCGTGTTGGATTTACAATGGGTTTCCCTGCACCTGGACCTTCTACTCCTAATTGTCATATTCTCGGGGTGCCCGCGCGGGCTGTCGGGCTCCTCCGGGAAAAGCTCCGCGAAGTCCAAGATGCCGTCCCGGTTGAGGTCGAAAAACTTGAACAGGTGGCGCGTCGTCCTGGGAAGAAGCAGCGTCGTCGGGTCGAGGCAGAATCGCACGGCGATGAGGCGTCGGCGCACCCCATTGCACGCGTCGGAAAACGATGCCTCCTCCTGCACAGAATCCGTGCAGAACTGGTCGCTGGACCCCTCCAAGGCACTCGACATGAGGGCCTCAAGCTATCGGACGAGTTAACGGGTACGCGGCTCATACGCGGAGCTCATCTCGGCCCACGCTCTTACACATTCACCGTCATGCAGTTGCTGCTTCATGTTGTTCTGAAGGGCCCTTGGGGACAACTTGTTCGGAAAGCCACAATAAGACCCTGGGAAGGAAGACGCTTGCTCGATCTGACTGGCGCGCATTGCCTGCTCGAGGAGCGAGCTGTACGACTCGAGCTGCGCGAGCTCACGTGGGATAACCTCGCCCATGCATGAACATATCGGGACACCGTGTATCGATTATCTATTGGGAAAGAGAGGGAGGGCTGATATGAGAAAGAGAGAGAGAGAGAGAAGGAAGGAAAAAGAGGGGCAGGAGGGGGAAGATCGAGAGAGAGAGAGAGACTGCCGACGATACAACACAAACTGCACTCTCGGTTCCCCCGGACTCGGAAGCCGAGGAGCCAAACCATTCGCTTGACCACCGGGCGCGCGGCGGCTCGGAGCTCAGAAGCTGCCTGCCCTCGCGGGGGGGGGGGGGGGGGGAGGGAGGAGGAGAGGAGGAGGAGGAGGAGGAGGAGGAGGAGGAGGAGAGGAGGCGGCGGCGGCGGCGGAGCGAGGAGGAGGGAGGAGGGAGGAGGGAGGGGGAGGAGGAGGAGGAGGAGGAGGAGGAGGAGGAGGAGGAGGAGGAGGAGGAGGAGGAGGAGGAGGAGGAGGCGGCGGCGGCGGCGGCGGAGGGAGGAAGGAGGAGGAGGAGGGAGGAGGGAGGAGGGAGGAGGGAGGAGGGAGGAGGAGGAGGAGGGAGGAGGAGGGAGGAGGGAGGAGGGAGGAGGGAGGAGGAGGAGGAGAGGAGGAGGAGGAGGAGGAGGAGGAGGAGGAGGAGGGGAGGGATGGGCCCCCGGGGAGCGGCGGAGGAAAGGGTGGGGAAAGGGAAGAGGGCAGAGGCAGAGGGACGGGTGGTGGTGGAGGAAGCAGAGCTGAGGGGGAACGACACGGGGGAGCGGCTCAAGGGGGGGGCATGCCTCGCCGATGCGTCGGCGGTGCATCGAGCCTGGCTCGGCGATGCATCGCCGATACAGCGACGACAGGCGCAGGATGTTGGGCCTGCACTCTCCTGGGCGGGAGAGGGCCACCAGGCCCCCATCGGCGATCCATGGGCGATCGGGGGTCGATGCATCCCCCCCTGAGCCTATCCCCCCCTAACATTGTCCCTGAGGAGTAAGGTAGGCTGGCGATCCACCGCGCAAGGGATTCGGCTGGAGGGCGCCAGACATGAGGGTCGGGTGCGCGCTGGCGCTGATGGCGCGGACCCGGTCGAGGTCCGCGGCTCCAGATGGCGCTGCAACGGGGCACCAATTCTGGCGAGGCGGATTCTTGTAGGCTCAGGACGGGTGGATACGGAGCGTTTCCCTCTGGCCTGGCCGAGAGGGCGTACCCTGCCGTCTCCTGTGCTCTTCCTGGGATCCGACAGGCCTCGCAGTCTCCACACAGAGAACGGAGCGCGAGGACGAGCTGCTCGTCCTCTCCATGGCTGCGATCTGACCAGGACTTCCGCGCGGATGCCGCTGCCACGAGGGCGTCCCGGCATAGACATCCTCACAAAATGTTCTGAACGCAAACGAGTCTGGGCACCGAAACGGACAAACTGCCTGAGACATCCCCACATTCTGGGCACTAACGGGTCCGTGCAAACTCCCTGTCATCTCCCCCTTGGGAGTGCTGAAGCCACCACTTCGTCTGAGACATCCTCACACTCTGCGAGTCTGAGTTCGATTAGCTTCTAACTATGAGCGAATATGATTATGAGGGTGAGTGAGTCTGAGTGTGAGTGAGTGTGAATACGAGCGAGCCTGAGTCTGAGTAGGTCTGAGTGTGGATGAGTATTAGTGTGAGCGAGTCTGTGTCTGCGTCTGAGTCAGCGAGAGCGCGAGTCAGCCTGAATATGCATGAGCCTGGGTATGAGTGAGTCTGAGTGTACGAGTGTCTGAGTGTGAGTCTGTCGGACTGCGACTAACTATGAGTGTGAGTGACTCTGGGTTGCGTGAGTCTCAGTGTGAGTGAACCTGAGTATGAGCTGAAAGAAGAGTCGGAGCAGGAGGAGAAGGGGAAGGTGTGTGTGTATGTGAGGGAGACGGCGGCATCAAAGTAATAACAACAAAAACATCTTCGCCGTTCATATCTAACCTCACCAGGCGGCCCTGGGACTTCTGCGAATCTCTGGGCGGCCCTCGCGGAATCAGACATTTCCGTGGGGCACCTGGGCACCTGCCAGGTGAATATTTCCTATTCGATGCGCATGCTGTGGGGGGGAACTGCTCAAAAGGGGGAAACATCGACCTGGAATCGGCGATACATCGCCGACTGATCGGCGACAGGCTCTCGATAAAGCACTGCCGCCCGCTCCAGGGCGGGTAAGGGCTACCAGGATCCCATCGGCGACTCTCTTCTGGTTCGCTATTCCCTCCTCCTGCTATTGGTCGAGCACCTCCAAGCTGTCCAAAAACCTGAACCTCGAAGTCTGGAAAGTACCACACATCAGGAGTCACACAATCGGGTGCAAACCAGTGGGGCGGACAGCAAGCCACAAGAGCAGGCTTCAAAACGCGAATGCCGCCACACACCGAAAGCCACACACCTCGACCCCCGATCGCCCATCGGCGACGAGTGGGCGATCGGGGGTCGATACGCTGACCCCCCCCCCGAGCCGATCCCCCCCCAGTGATCATCGTCGTCCAGCCTCCGGTCGGAGGTACGCTGACCCGGGTCAGTCCTGACCCGGGCCAGTCAGGCCTTGCAGGATAGGATCCTGCAAGATCTGGCGCTCGGCGCTCTGACTGGCCCCGATGCGCTTCCCCCCCGAGCCGATCGCCCCCAGTGATCATCGTCGTCTGGCTTTCGGTTGGCGGCGAACGAGGGGAGGAAGTGAGGGGGAGAGTGCCTTCTCAGAAGGCGGGGGGACTTCTCAGAAGCCCTCGCGCCTTCTGAGAAGTCAATTTTCCGTCTTCGGGGAAGGCTTACAAAAACTTCTCGGAAGGCTGGGGGGACTTCCCCCCTCGCTCGCCGCCGATTCGGGTCAAAGAGGCCTCCTAGATGGGGTCGGAGTAGATGTGGTCGGAGGATCGCGCCGCATCGCCGATGCATTGGCGCTGTATCGGCGATGCATCGGCGATGCACTGGCAACGTCGGTGATGCACCGGCGACGGCATGAAGAAACTCGGGCTCCACATCGAGCCGCATCGACGATGCATCGGCGAAGGGGCGCGATCCTCCGACCCCATCTGGGAGGCCCAGAGGTCAGAACTGAAGTCTCCGGCGGCTGGTCGGGACGGCCCAGGCACACCTCTGGACGCCTCTCGGCGCAGCGCGCAGCTGCGGACAGTGCACACACACACACACACCGCGGCGGGAAGGCCCCCAGGGAGCCAGCGAGCAACGCCCGAAGGCCCGCGCGCATGGCCCCCCAGGAGGACCCCCGGCCTCCCCGGAGCTGAGCTCATGCGAGGCAAGGATGTATTAATGTCCACCGCCTGGGAGCCGATGCCCTGGTGCCCCAGCGGGCGGCGGATATGGATGTATTTTGGCCCCAGAAGGCCCGAATAGATCAATA